TTGTAGATTGAGCTCTTGATCACCCATTTGACTTGAAAATTCAAGCTTGGAAACTATAACATTAAGGGGTAAACCTTTAACCTCTCAAAAGTTTGAGGTAATCGGATGAAACCTACTTTGGATAGTTATATGTTAATTGATTGTAAATTAATTTATAATTGTGAATGTCACATGCATGGATTGATTTTTCAATATAAAAGCATGTATTAGTTTCAATAAGTGTATGAAAATTTGAATATGCATAATGTTATTTTTGGTTTAAAATGAAAAATGTGAAATCAATATGGTTTTTGAGCTATGAACATGCATATGTCTTTGAAAAAATGAATGTGATGTTGTGTTAAGGTAAATGTGCGTTGATGAAGAAATGGATTAGTGTGGTAAGTAAGGAGAATATGGTGAAATATTATTAGATACTCATTTGGGTAGCGTATGATCATGAACTCAACGTGTGAATGTGTTAAACGATAAAGGAAAATGTGAAAAAGAGTGAGTATCGTTTACAGCATGATCAGTAGGTAAGAGTTTGTTGAGGGATTGGGAGTAGAGAAAAATTTATATGGTATTTAGGCTGCTCTCCGGTGCACAAGGGTATAGCCTTGTTCTACAGTTTGTTGAGGGACTATCCCATAATTTGTTGAGGAATTAGAACCTATCTTTCTTTATCAATTTAATGAGGAGAATAGTTTAGGGTATGAGATACCCCAAAGATTTGAGAATGGGGGAAGCCGTGGTTTGAGACTGACTCATATGATCTTTGGCCAGGTCACACCTCATGATCAGTGAGCTTGGATGGTCCAGTCACACAAACGAAGCCCTATTTAATGTTATAACCCACGGTTTCAGTATGAAAAAATAAGAAGGGTATAAGGTTGGTTGATCATTACCTATGTAAACTTATGACATGTCACATGCTTTGAATTGTGGCAAGTTATGTGATAAATCGAGTTATGATCACATGTGTGAGTGGATTGTGATTATGTACCTAGCACATATGAGATGAAAACATGTTAGTTGGATTTATAATTGATATATGTTAAAGTATGTTTTACGTACTTGGTTTCATATGTATGTATTTGGTTTATAATTGATATATAACTGCATGGTAAGTTTTTTTTTATTTACTGAGTGGTTAGACTCACCCCATTCATTTAATACTTTTTAGGCTCTAGCTCTGGTGTAAAGAGGAAAAAGGCTCAAGAGATTAGGAATTAATGCATTCATATTGTTTGCCTCTAGTTTAAATTTATTTTGTGTAATATTATATAATTGCTAATTCTAGTTTGCATGCTATCACACTTGCACTATTTTGTTGTTACAAATATCTGAGTTATATTTTAGGGCCCTAAATATTTTTGTATGATTATATATATATATATATATGTTGATAGGGTCAAAATACTAGTACAAGTATAGAAATGATAATTTAAACATATTATAATGATTTTTGATGCAATGCAATGGAAATTTTCCCCCCTCTGTTTTTGGTAAAAAGGGGTTGAGAAGTGAATCTATATTATACTGTTGTTTAAGTGTATGTGACGTGTTGTTCTGATAGTCCTAAGTCCAATAAATATGGTTCAGATATTAGGAAAGGCTTGTGGCATTTGTTGAGGGTTTTAGACACCCTTTTTGTGTGAAAATTGTGAAAAATGGTTAAAATGTGTTTGGATATTTAATTTCTTGGTGTGACTTATTTTTTTGGAAGTGAAACCCATGCCATTAGCTAGTTCATGTAAAAAGCTTTTCGTAAACACTTAGATCACGTCATTCAAACATCGGACAGATAATCGGGATGTGTTAGAAGTTCCCTAATTTTGCTATTAAATGACAGTAGAATTTGTTGATATTTTCATGCAACACGTTGTGGTGTATGGTGCCTGAGTCGTGGCATGTGGCACAAAGAGCAACGCGCTGCGGCGTAGCATGAATGATCTGTACTGTATTGCCCTGTTTCACAACACATGAATTATTTTTCTACTATTTTTGATTTCTTTCACTCCTTAGATGTATCCCATACTTTTTTAACTTATTTATACTTTGATATAAGAGTTTATAATTGTTTTAAACTCATTTTGATTATGAAAATTTGAGATCCCTTGACTTTGAACTAAAATTTGGTAATCACTTTTTTGTGTTAATCCCTTGATTACCATAAGTTTTATTAGTTAATTATGATTAGTAAAGTGAGATATTACAGTGGCATTGTCACAAGTTCCATATGAAGGAGTTTCATAATTGGTGTGGGGTTTATAAGTTTAAGAAGCTCTCCCATCTAACAGGCTAGTTTGTTGGGTGGTGGTATCACTCTCTTTGAGCTTGTGGTCTTAAAAAGGGTTGAGTGAAGTGTCGTGGAGCAGGAGTCACCGAGATTATAGATTGATTGTCACAAGTCCTATATTGAGGAGCCTCGCAAGTGGTGTGGGGTTTAGTTTATATGATTCTTACTCTTTAATGGGTTATCTTTTGAGATAAACTTTTTTTTTAAGCTTGTACTCATCACATTAAGGTAGACTATAGTAGAATAAACTAGTATGATGAATTAAAGTTTGAATCCGTATAATCATTCCCTGATAAGAAAAAACTCAAACACGAAAAAAGACACAGGAAAAAAAATCGTTATATTAGACTCTTGATTAATGCAAAATGAGTTAGATAAGACCAAAAACGTGGTCAATGAATTTTCAGCAGAATTATATATCCAGAACTTGAAACCGACATTACCATTAGGTCACTCTTTTGCCATGCCTAGAGCTTCTTGAATAACCATATAGCTTCAGCCGATAATCAGTGCAGATCATCAAAATTGTTTGAAGTTTGTTTGCAATTCAATCTGGGCATTACACTCCAGGCTTAATTGGTGGATATACAAAATTAACCTAGAGGGCTAGAGATATACTCCCTTCAATTTTATTTGTAAGACAAATTTTTTGATCTCATTTATGAGTTATGGTGTGACTATTTATGTAATGTTTAAAAAGTATTTTTAAAATTATCCTTAATGAAAGAAAAAAAATAACATGACATTATTTTTTAAATTTATTATATAAGAGTATATTTAAAATTCTACACACTTTTATTCTTTATATTTTTTTATATTGATATTGATGAGGTTGATAGAAATAATTTATAAAAAAAATTGAAATAATATTTTTTAAAAAATTGAATAATTAAAAAAAATTGTCTTACAGAGGAGGGGCATGATGACGATGAGTTAGGTGGATCTTTTAGTGGATATGGTGGGTCGACCCACTTGTCGATTTTACCATCATTAAAGAGTTAAAGAAATAGTCATTATCTATTTTGTTAAGTCTACACGTTTATAGGGTTGTAATTAAAAGTCATAATATTTTTTTTCAAAGGTAGAACCTTTTTTTTTTAAATTAGGTGAATTGAGTCCTGAGAATTTACTAGAATTAAGATATGTCTCTATAATTAAAAAAAGTATTTATAAAAATACTTACAAACTATTTGCCCGCAAAATTCTCACACCAACAACGATATTTAATTTCACAGCCTTACATATGAAGCCAAATCTGCATCAGTTGAACCGAATTTTGTTAACAGGGTTAGAACTTCTTAATAGCATGTGAAGAGTCCAAATATTTACGTGTACATATCCACACCCTTAAGTTTCTTATATATTTTGTCATGCTCGTTTATGAGGATTTGCAATAATAACCACCTTAAACAAAATAATCAATATCGGCAAGTAAAGTTAAAATTTATATTAAGAAAAACTATTCACAAATTATAAATAATGCAATTTACTTTAGACTCTGTAAATATATGGGAAAACATGTCCATATATTCACTTGACTTCAAATGATAAAATTTAATTTCAGATAAATTGATGTTTTAAGACATTAGAATGAGGTTCATGCTTGACACGAGATGTAATATAATTTGTATCAATCATGATTAGAATATTAGGTGCCTATAGTAGACCAAGAATATGAGGTGCCTATATGAATAATGGTATTTTTATAGATTATACACACACACACATATTATATAAGTCAATATTCCACCAAACCTAACCCAAAAAGCAGGTGATAGCACATTTCAGTGGTCATTCACAGAGATATTGAATTGAATTATCATAAAAAGCTATCAATTAAAATGTAGGATAGGTTGCTTGTTGGGCATGTTGATCTGAATTCTTAAGAGAGTTCTTACATATGAAAGAGAGCATCATAATTTTTCAATTCAATAGAATATCTTAGTGGCCTCGTGAATCAATCCACTCGTAAATATACTCCCTCCATTATCTATCATTCCAGCTATCTGTAATTTAAACCGTGTCTTAAAAAATTATAATTAATATCTCACAATTTATTTTATCTAGTCTAATATTATCATAATTATTTTTATATTTCATAATTAAATTTAATTAGTGGAAACATTTAGGGATGTAATTGAAATTATATAAATTAATATTATCTTGGAACTTTTAAAATTATAGATAAATAAAAAAATTCAAAAGTGACCATTAAAAAGAAATAAAGCAAGTAATTAAGTTACCTAGAAAATGAAAGTTGAGGTGAGTTGCATTGTTTATATATTTTATACATAATGATCCACTCCCTCTATATCTACTTACTATACTCCCATTTAAAAGAATTATTACTTTGAGGTTTTGATACAGATAAACATAATTAGTAAAATACATAGATTATGTATTGTTTTGTTAACATGCCTTGGAATATTGAGATATTAATTAAGGTTGAAACAATACGAAAATGATTAATGCTTCCTTTGAAATTCTAAAGCAACAAATATTTACGACATACAAAATCTCTAAAGTGACAAATTGACTTTTTTTATTATTTAATTATTTAATTATTAGTCATATTTCCCATGTGTTACAATCTGATGTGAGTCACACGTACTATCCATAACTTACCATATTTGATTTTTTTTTTATATAACGCATATAGTATAATGATCACAAGTTCGACTAAAAACATATCAATAAAATTATTATGAATCAATATGTGTACAATATTGAAAGAGAGAAAAGAAGGAACAATGTCCAACGCTAAAAAAAGTGCTTCATTCTAAATTATAAATTTTGCATGCTAAAGTATACTTAACCACATATTTAGATATAAATTCATTTATATTTAGTGGCGGGATTTATATTTGCCGTAAATAAAGGGACTGCATGGTTGCACGAAGCCTCACCACAGCCACAAGAACCCTACCAAATGGTGAAAGTGGCAAGTAATTAAGTAGCGAGGGAGCACATGACATGAACCAATTATATCTGCAGCAAAGGGTCCATCTTTCACATCATGCTGTGTCAACAACACACTCACAACACCAATTACATCACATGATGCATTTCACACACACACGCTCGTGTTAAACCCTTCAAATGAAATTCAACTTTGTTGCTTTCTTTCATAAGATCTAAGTGGTAAAATTAAATAGCACTATGAAATCTATGAGATATTGAGTTGATGCTATTTGTTCAGCATTAAAAAAAAAAGTGAGTTGGGCCTCGAGATTCACCAAAAATCAAGATATGTTTTTAGGTTTAATAAACATTTACAAAAATATTTACAAATTATCTATTAATAAATTTTCATATCAATAACAAAATTTAATCTCAACCTTATATATTATAAATTAAATTTTTATTAATTAGACTAACTTTATTGATAGTTAATGCTACTTGTTTGGCCGGCAAGGAATGCTTATTTGACTAAAATGGCATCTGAAAGTGGAAAAGCAGAGGCACTGCCAATAAGGAGGGAACTTTCTAGGCATCTCTACTGTTCCTGAAAATTGTGTCTTCTACATTCAATGACTCCACCCATAAATTTGGTGCTGGACAAATACATGATCTTCTTGTAGCACTATCAACACAGTGGAGCTTCCCTTCTTATAGCACTATCACCACAGACGATCTGAAATGTTTGTATGGAATCTAGAATTTGAGATGAGTCAGTATTGTTGATATGATCATGATTAATAAGTAACACTACTCATTGCATATATCAATTGATTTTTTTTTTGAAACTACATTAAACTGTAATTTGGATCGAGTCAAGATATAGCACACACGTAAAACTTTCGAAACAGCAAGAATTAAAACCTACGTCTTGCTTAAAAGGTACAAATACTGAACCACTTGAATTAATTGTTGGTTCCATACGTTTCTATATATGATGTGTCTGTCATGAATTGATATAGTTAATTATTTGAAATAACGATTAATCAAAATATATCTCAATATCAATATCTAACAATCAATGTAATTAAATGAACAGAATAAAATACAAATTTTATTACCTGCTATACTATACTATTGATTAAAATAGTGAACAATTCAGTTTATTCCTCATATTACATGCTAGAGTAATTGGTCCAATATATATTACAAAGCATTTACTTGCATAATTAATTGTTTGTCACTATCCTGACGAATAGTTTTGCTATAGAGTGGTTTCAAAGAAGCTACTTATTTGAAAATAGCGATTAGGTGGTGATATATAATAGTGGCTACAAGAGCTGCAGGTAAGGCTGCACGGTTGATGTCAAAAACTTTAAAAGAGCGAGCATGAATGAATCATATCTGGCAGGGAAGCAAGTTGAAAAGGATTTGAATTGAAATCAACAGTGTCTCACAGCTTCAATGGGCAGGGCCGCGGACACACAAATCTGCAGCTCTTTAGACGCTCACGAAAAAGCAAAAAATAGATTTCTCGTCAGCTCGTTGTTTTGAAACCGTGAGCGTTAGACAACAATTATATTGTCACTTCCCTCCTTTCAGCTTATCGTTATCACTGGGATGACATCTACACCATATAAACCTAATTAAAATTTAAAAGGTTTAAATTTTAAGTTTTCTAGCTAGTTATATTTTCTGAATAATATTTTTATACCAAATGATAATTAGAATGTCATTTTATTTTGAATTATGTACCTATTTAAATGAAAAACTATTAAAAATAAGGGACAATTATATTGAAGTCCTATATAAGAGAATTAACTACTATAAGATTTATTGACACCTAATTCTTCCTAGAAATAATAATAAATCTAAACCATCAGCATCCATTTTCTTTTGAGAACAAAGGGCAAGCTAAAAGCCTAAAACCATGCTATTCTTTAAAAGCTAGCTCTAACATGCTGGAATCATCCTAATTCCACTAGGCTATGGGTTGAGGTTCAGTGCTAGTGATAAGTATCACGGCATTCATCATTGTGAAAAAATGTGAGCCATTCAAAATTAATTTTAGTAGTTGAATAATTTTTTATTTAAAAATGTTTTTTGACAGAATGACAGTTATAAGATTATCATTATTTTAAATTATATATCTATTAAAATAATAATTTATCAAAAATATAAGAAATTATATTAAATGTGTCATTTTCAAATTAGTGCTCATCACTTAACTTGTTCGCCAGGCCGTAGGGCATTGGCATCCAAATTTGATACACCCAATCTTACTCTATCTTTAGTTCTTTACTTTTCTGCTGCTTTGATTTTTTTTTTCTTTTTTAAAACATTCTAGAGTCGACCTAGAAATAGGATGGCTTGTCGATTATTTTTCCTTTTTTTTTTTCCTAATCGTCAGTCATCTTTTGTTGGCTTAGCAAAGGAGCTAAGGAACAAAGAAGCAAAGCAAACAATTTGCTTCTCTACATGTCGCAGTTTTACATATAATCTAAATAAAACTAAAATGTTCTAATTTTATGTTATATATTTTAAAACTAGAATTTCATATCTCTATTTATATAGATGGACCATGTCCCCTTATTTCTCACACAGAGAGAGAGAGAGAGAGAGAGAGAGAGAGCGCAGCCATGTAGACCCAACTTCAGGCATGGGGCTCACATGGCTACATCTTTCATGTGTTTCTCTCGAAGTAGAAGAACCATATCTGCTAAAGAAGAAGTCAACCATTTAACACATAACCAGCGAAGAACAAATTGGAGGAATCTCACCAATATGATGGAAAAGAAGTGAACCTTATCCCCAAATGTTTATGCCTTTGATCTCTCGTATTTTCTAGACGTGACATGTTTTGTCAAAGTACTTTCCACTAACACTAAGAAAATTTATAGCTCATGAACATCAATAACATTTATATCATGCATAAATGTTGGCCCTCAAATCATATCTTTTTCTTTTCGAGAAAGAAAAAGGTAAATTGGAGAATAAAATCCTCACCAGCAAAGAAATAAAGAAATAGAGTATCTATTTACTGAAGTATAGTTCTTTTGAGAAAAAGAAATATTGAAAATTGAAGTACCTGGAAGCTGACAATAACACTGAAAAAGTTGCATTTATATTGTCTGTATGTTTAGCTGCAAAGGTAACAGGAATTCTACTATCAATGAAAGGGGGTGAGCGAGATTAATTACCACTAGACAATGGAAAGCAACCAAGCAAGGCTATACTTAAAAAAATAATCACACCGTTGCATTAAGTTCAGGTAATTTCATCACAATATAAACTGTAAACTAAATAAATCTAAGAAGGAAATTCAGGAGGCCCTTTATAAAAATCACAACATGGAATAGATGGTCTACGTGTTTTGAAAAGAGGATAAGAATTTAATTCTGTTATATTTTAACAGAGTCCTAAGTTTATAGATAAACTTTAGTGCAAATCCGACGTGAATGAGAATAAGCCTAACATTTCAGCAAAATACGAAAGGAGTGGCGTGTAAAAGAAAATCACGTCTCAACTTTCAAAAAATGATGCGTATGACACTGAAAATGCTTGTAACGTCAACTTGCTTTCTGGCAAGGCCAAGGAAACAGTTTTTTGGGCAGGCCTGCACTACTAATATATAAATTATTACTTTTTGTCGCTTAAAAATATAAAAAAAAAAAAAATACTTCACTCACGGGGACTAATCCATGTGTTGCTTGAAAATGATCCATCCAACAAACATCTTTTACCAGTTGGTCCAAAAGATTTTCCAAATCCCTAGCCATTGCATATCCCTTCCTTTAATTTTGGCAATATAAACATTCTCTCAAATTCTGGTTTCATTGTACTGTTTTCTAAACTAAACTAGCATGAATCTGGAATTCAAATTGAAATTCTAAATTTGCACATTTGTAATATTTGATAGTAATGTGCCCCACTTTTTTTTTGTTTATTTACCTTCCTCAATTGATTGTGATTAGTCAATAAAAACATTGCTATAAGATGATCTAAGTATCAATTATGGTATGTTTGGATAAATTTTAATTAAAATTTAAAATTTTAATATAAGAATTACATTGATAGCATATACTTATAGACGAATATCCTTTTAAAATAATTGTAATTTGAAATTATCTACACAAATTTAAACAAATATTATAAAACCTAGATTACAGCAAAATGTAGTCATTTTTAACTACATTGCTTTTATATTAGCATACTAAAATAAAATACTACAATATTTAAGCTTGACCTACTATATAGTTTTTTGTTAATAAAGGGTAACATAAGACTAAAAAAAAATTAATGCTTTATTAAAATCTTAAAACCACAATTTTTTTTTTGGTGAAAGTAAAACCACAATTATTTTGATATGCTAATGAAATTTACATTGTGCCTTAAAATTCATAATTTTTTTAAAAAAAATCCCTAAAAAATTATAGATTTAGCTTATGAATATAAAAGATCATATATTCATACCGAGTCGTGTAAAAAGGCACATACCATTTTAACTCGGAAAAAGTTGACTTGGACCATGAAAGCCAGCTCTTAGCCTCTCACATCATTCAGATTCGGAGTGATTCAAAGCGCAAAGTCTCCTTCTCTTGAGATAACAATTGCTTGCCCCACTCAACAGTGCCGAGTCTGACACACAAGACATAAGCCTCATAAGGCCCCAGTAAGTATCAAAAGCTATACTTCTGGATCATCCATTCGGCATATAATCATTCTCCTCATAATTAGAAAGAAGAACAAGCATGCATGAACAGGAACCTGAATATATACAGCCCCTGCAGGCATTGTTAGATGTGCATAATTCCATGTGGCTGCAAACAAATTCCTGCTGATATTCAAATTCAAAATGAATCCAATGGCAGTTAATTTGGTTGATTCAGCTTCTCTTTTAAGCAACAACTAAAAATCTGGGTTCTGGAAATGAAATATATTTACGTATATATATATATATTACCAAAGTTTCTATATCAACATGACTCAATTCAATTTGAATTAGTTAGTGTTCAATAAAATTTTTAGCAATTGATACATCAGAAAAGGAACCAAAGCTTCGAATCAACCACACCAGTTTTTTTTTTTTTTTTAACGGACATAAACATAAATACAGTTTTTAGGTCTTTGTTATCAGGCTTTTCAATAAAAAGACAAGATGTTTTTCATGGAGTAGAACTACATGGCCCTTGCTTTAAAAAATAAAAAACAACGAAGAAGAATTACATGGTCTTTCAAAAATTTAAATCTACATTACGGTTTTGCTTATAACAAACATCTAAAGAACTTTACCAAATTCCTACATTATTTATTTATTTATTTATTTATCAACAGGCAATTTTGCAGGCTAAACTAATCCTCTCAATTTTATGAATACAAGCAACAATACACATATGATATAGCGTCTACTTCAATGTTGCAGTTTGGGCAAAAATACAAACCAGTGACTTCATTTCCCCGTTTTCTTGTGAGGCACATTCTTATTCCGAAACTCCAAATTTTGATGGGAATGATGCATGATAATTTAATTGGCCAACAATTTATATGGTTTATGCAGATATTGGAACCCTAACTATGTGGGCGAGCTGGTAACTGACACATGCGTCTGTGTGTGAGAGAGATGGTCCGTTGGCTGGGTACATATTGGAGAGTGAGGTTCAATGACGGTTTAGGTAATAATTTGGTGTTGTGAGGAGAGTCTCTAGCCTCTTGGATGCTAGGAGAGTAATTTCAGATTTCATTTCGTAGGCAAAGGAAAGGGAAAGGCTTTCAGAAATTGAAGCACTTATGACTGAAACCCTTATTAACTATTATCTTATGCTTTGCTCTTGTTTGCTATTTTGTAATCACCAGAGTTGTATTTCTGTATTTCATAGAGAATTAGAGGGTGTAGCGCTGTTTTCTTCATATGAATAATACTAGATTTCAGAGGTTTCAATCAACAAAAAATTAGCTCCAATTACAAGATAAATGTTTAATTGGGTATATGGGATCATTGATCTGCTGGCAAACAATTTAAAATTCTTTGGCAAAGCTGAAAGCCAATCTACAGAATGGCATCAAGCAGTATGAAAAATTATACTAAAATGAAGGATTTATAGATAGCCGCATCTGAATACTTCAACAGTCTGCTCCTTCCACTTCATAAGAAACTGGTTCTTTTCTAAAATTCACATTCTCACATATACTAACTAGTAACAGCCGCAACATGCATGATGGCCCCAAAAAATTACGGCATTGTGTGTCAAGTGTAATTTGTTTATAAACCCAGGGGAAATAAAACCACTTCACTTTTAGCACTCTTTCATTGATTTCTAAGCAATTTCTTCAGCATAATGCATATGATACTCACCAGTGATCATGCAAAACTCCAGTTTCATTTGTTGCCTTCCCTCCCAAATGTTTGCTGATTTAATATCTTCATAAACATCTTCCAGAGGAGAATAACATCCAACCAAAGTCAATCCCAGCAGCGGCATGCTGCATTTATAAAGTGACAAAATATCAATTCACACCAAATCAAGAAGCAACAAATCTAAAAAACTCAGCACTTGAGCCATCCACAGCAGCACCACTGCGTTGCAGTATCAACAGCAAATCTAGATGGTCCAAACTCTCTATAATTTTTTGTTTTTTAAAATTTTAATTTTAAAATAAGCAAAACACAATAAAAATGATCTCTTCATTGCCTTTTTTTAAAAAAAAAAAAACAATGGTTAATAATAAAAATATAACAAAGCAGGACAGCCAGGATCTTTTGCCGTAAAACTGCTCCAGCGACGAAGAAACCAAGTCCAAGCCAGTGAGTGTGGACTGATGGTACACTGTCAATAGTTAGTAGGAAATCAAGGTTCCAGACCTTTTTTGCCCCAGTTATTTATCACCAAAAGAAGTCAGAAATGCCTGTATCTAAAACCTGGATTCTCAGCCGCTTCATCTCTCTCACCGAAGCCAGCAATTTGTTTAACCATTGTCGTATCAAGTTCAAAGTACAAGGCAGAGAACAGTGTCTAGATTAAGCAAAATTCAAGTTTTGGACCTAAACAACTGTTAGTTCTCACGAATTTGAAAAGCACAACTTTCATAGTTGAAAATTTCAAGACCAAAACAGCAAAAATGGCCAAGGAAACTAGAATTGAGGCAAACCAGTTTAAGATTTCAGCGCTCTCTATCGTGGTTCCATTCCCAAGCATTTATTATCAAGTTGTACTCCCATTCTAATCATGAGTGTCCCAGAAGAAAATGAGTTCAGAATCCTGAAAAGAACATAAAAACGATTAGAAAAACAGTTGTCAAATGGCAATACCAAGTTTATATTTTCAAATCCTGAGTTGGAAATTGTATCAAATCCTCAAACTTATAAACAAAGTGAAAATACCTTGCACAATATATAACATGTGCATGTGTGCAAAAACAAACTATAAGTCTAATGTTAAGTTACTTTGCAAGCAACATCCCAACCAATAATCTTTTGGCTTTCAATTTAGAAGGGGCATGATAAGTGATAGCAGCTGAAACACTCCAATGGAAAAAATTAAAAAATGTGACCTGCTGCACAAGCCCAAGACGAGAGAAGAATGAATTCCAAAATTGCACAATTCTTTGATTCTATCTGAAATTGCACCAATTTGTGCAGTTTCAACAATTCAAGCACAAGAAAGATTTGGCCATCTGTTTGTACCAGCTGTTGTATGCATCAGACCATATCATATGATTATTTCACAATACTGATCGCCATGATTAAAACATCTAAAAGAATTTATCCAACATAATGATAAGCTTCTGGACAGAGTCTTCAGCAAAAGGGCTGAAATGGTGACAAGGCTGATTCATCAAATAGAAGCATATTGTACAAATGGTCTGCAGAGATACATACCTAGAGCATCGGTCACTCATATGAACCAAAACCTGAGGTGTGCATTTTAAGTCTAACACAAAAACAAAAAACAAAGACTTTCATTCAAGCACCACTGCCCTTTTCAAAACTTGTAACTTCACAATTTCTAAAGCTATTAGCATAATACAGTAATAGTACAGATGACTGTATAATTTACTCACCACATAGTCCTGATAAAAGTTAAACACCATGACTGTTTCTTCTAGTTTGTGGTACTTGTAGAATCTGAACTGGAACATGATCACTCAATAAACTAGATTTCTGTATTTTGGCAAAGTCCTCTTTTGTTTCTTTTATTTTACTTCTCATGCAATGCCATCTAAGTAGTTGCTTAAATTGCAAGCAGCACCTATTAAAAAACTGAAAAAATCACATCAGGACAGAGTCCATTTAGAACCATCTCTTCTTCAGAGAGTAAGCATCATAAAAGTTTCCAAACTTCACTTGTGAATTAATTTATACATTCTAATTTCACTTGTGAATTAATTTATACATTCTAAGTAAAACATTGAGCCGAACGCCCGAAAACAAAGAGCCTGAATCATAGCTCCATTCTGAATGATAGTCCATGTAGTAGAGGCAATTAAAGTGGTATTCCTTCATCATCATCATCATTTAATATTTTTTCAAGGAGCATTTTAGCTTCCTTCAAAAAAAATTTATCCCATCCAATGAATGTACCACTGTGTCACATGTAACCCTGCTGGCTGAATACTAGCATGAGCCATGGTAGAAAACAGGTAGAGAGCTTTACCTACATTATCAACAAGGCAATAACCCTTTATAAAATATGTTGTAGGTGACACATTAAGGAGAGGAGCCCAGTTCTGACAACTGTTTAATAAGCCAGTCTGCCGTCTCCATTACACCCATTTTACACTGGCCATCAACAAGATTGTTGTGGGCAAATACGTCAGGAAGAAAACGTCCTGCACTATTTTGTCCCAATCCATTAATCTGCTCCCAACTTACCTCCTAAGCTCAAAAAGCTCATGATGGTTCTTTCATTGCCGTCATATTTGTATATCCTGCAAGATCTATCTATGCCAAAGATGTGCTTTTCCCGCAAAAATTCATGTAAGAAACAAGCAAGTAATTTATTTTGGCACTTACACCATCTTCTATCTAAATACTCACGCATACAGAGAATATGGGTATGATTATATACACGCCAGTATCCAATCAAGACGGTTGTCAGAAAACACTCCCTATTCTGTGGACCAAGGTGCACAACAGAGAAAAATCTAATAGGTACAAACCTTTGAAAAATAGTTACAGAAATGACACTCCTTAGATTGATATAAATTTATACTTCAATGTAAAAGCAAAAATGAGATTATGAAGTTCCAGGCAAAAAACAAAAAAAAAAAAAAAAAATCCACACAATATTCTTAGCACAAACCGCGAAACTACTGTGAAATTGACTAAGACCCATATCTATCAAATTCTTCAGAGTTTGCGATATCAAAGCTCACCTCATCATCTGCACATGCTCTAAACTGTCCTTTAGCATATCATCCAATGCAATGAAATCATCTTGACGGCGTTCTTATGACCAAAATTCCACCTTGACCATTCAGTATCTAAGTGACACTCTTTTCTCGTATTTGACATAAAATCTTTGCAGATGATGAAAGTATATCCGCTTCATAGAAAGTGCTACATGCAAAAAACGAAAACACCATGACAATATTGAGCCAGAAGTTGCATCTAAGATCGAAGTGTATGTAGTGTAAGAGGAGATAAATTTAAAAAGAAAAGGAAGGTCACAGGTGAGACAAATATACTTATATTTATTTCTATATTCTCTAGGTAATAAATCTATAGTTTAAATCTCTAGCCCATCCCCTTTTCTTCACTTATTAAGAAATCAGCTAGGAAAAATTGAATTCCAGGGCGAGTTTTTTTTTTTTTTTTGCATAAATTTTTCTGCAGCTAGAACCCTGTCCTTAACCTTACTTTCATTGGCAAGAAAACACCGTAAAAGAAAGAGTATAGGATTGATGAGATACCTGCCATGTCTATCCATTTTTGGTCGGGAGCAGAAAACGCTAGCCAAGATTAGACCAACATCACACTTGATGCAGTCAAAGCTCCGATTAAAAAATCTTCAGAAAGCAGTACGGACTAGCAAGATAGGGATTCTCCAAAGGCAACAAACAACTGAGACACGCAAAACAAATCAATGACAAAGCTATGCAAAATCAACTTGCAGGGGATACGGCATCCAAATATAAATTCAGGTTAAACGGCTGGTAAACAATAAATATAAACTTGATGAGCTAAATAAACAAATAATAGATAAAGAAAAATATATAAGAATATTCTATGCTTGTTGAATGAAAGATGCATAATGTTGTCCACACTCCACAAGGAAGGAAAAAAGAGTTGAGGGGAGCCAAACACGTTGTCATCTTCACCTTAATATATTGGATGTCAAGGGATGTTTCTGTTTGATACACGAAGATCCAAGATGCCTAGTGGCATTCAAAATACCGATTGGCATAGTTGAGAGGTGGTCTCACAAGCCACTTTAAAACCAATAATGTATCACATGCTTAAACAGCGAATCGTTAACCTTAATCGAGAAATGAAACCAAAAATCGCCATGGAGTTGAATTCATGGTTTTAAAAGCTTAATATGCAACGAGACTAAGCTACAACCCAGACAGCCTCCGGTTATTGGGCCTCTAGCCGGCTTTTCATACGTTACACCGTAGCAGGGGATATTTGGGATAGAAAACTGGAGAAGTTCATGTCTAACGTCTGAAATATTTGGAATGTAACGACTAACGAGGGAGATGAGAGGGGGCAAAAAACGAGGGAGATGAAAAAATTTTGAACAGAGAGGCGCGGTTTACGCAGCGTTTCATCCACGCTACAGGATACTGTCCGAGTTGGGTTCGGATTTACTTGGGTCCGGATCGGTTTTCTTTTTCAAAAACCAATTTCTTTAAGATAAGAAATTTTTTTGGATAGACCTGCAATATATCATTCATAGTTTTTTCAATAAAAAAATATAATATTCAACACTAGTTCAATTAAATAAAATTTTATATATTATTATTTTTAATGATTTTATTTTTATAATAAAATGTTTATTTGATTTCTTACATTTTTCCTCTCGTATAATATATAATCTTAATATCATATTTTATTAGATAAATCATAAATGAAACCGAATTCATATAATAATTTCTCTTAAAATAAAACGAATAGAATATATTCAAGACTCGTATTTAATATTTTAAAAGTGGATCTAATTAGTTGAATAAAGAAAGAAAAAATAATAATCCATGATCTCTGTATAAAATTTATATTATTTAAGAATTAATTGTTATTAAAATTTAAAAAATAAATATTTATTAATTTAAATTAATTTTTTATTAATAAGTATTTATTCAAATTTTAATAACAACTCATTTTAAATTAATAATAATTTATTTGAGTTATTGCTCATTTAAATTTTAACAATTATTAATTTTTAATTTATATAAATTTTATATAAAGCCATTTTTTCATAAGGAAGGTTGTAGGTTTTATCTCAAATAGATTGAGGAAAAATATTATTTGTTGTGTCCATTAGTGGTGTGATTGTGTACGGTGTGGATCGATGTGCAGCTTGTATGTGTGACTTGTGGACCTCCTTTTTATGGAGAGTGATTCTTTTTCTTTTCTTTTTTATCCAAATTGAATGGAGTCCATTCAAAACACGTATTCAATGTTGAGTTTGGGTATATAATATAAAATTTATAATGCATGACTGTTGCTTATCTGAACTTATCTAATCTAGTCTAATCTAATTGTTGTGCGTATTTAGATTAAAAAATTTGCAATTGGTATTAGAATTTAACTAAGATTAAAAAAATGTCTTTGACTTTAATGTGATTTTTGTTTGGATGCATTTTTTTAAAAAAAATTAATTAAATAAACTAAAATTATTTAGATAATTTGATTCAAAAATCAATTTAGAAGTATAATGATAAAAAAGAATATAAATTTTATTATATACTTTTTGTGATAATTTGATTTTTTAAAAAATATTAAACTTTGTGATTAACCAACATTCTATTTTAAAAAATTAAACTTTAAGTTATAATTTTATTTTAAAAAATAGAGTTAAGAAATATAAAATAAATTAATATATATTAAAAAGGTTAATTAATTAAAGATTATTCTTCAACCTCTCTCCTGCTTTTGTTAGTGAAAAACAAGAAAAAGCTCTTCCTCTCACGCTGAAGCTGAAGCAGAAATAAATAATAATAATAAATTTAAATGAATTAAATGCTCCCAACGCTCAACGCTAGAAGCCATGAAAATGAGCTTTGGAAAAAATTCATTTAAACCCTAACTGCAGTTAGAATTTTTTTCTCAATCCAAACCTGATTTTTATTTTATAATGAACTTTTAATCCTTCAACTGAAGTTTGGGTCATCCCAACCTCAGTTTGAAGCTAATCCAAACATAGTCGTAAATCTATTGTAACTACAATTTTTAGGAGATAAAGTATGTGTTTGGATTAAAAAATTTACAATTAAGGTTATGATTCAACTGAAGTTAGCAAACTGAGATTGGAAAAAAAAGTCAGTAATTTAACATGATTTATATTTGAATTTTTTTTAAAGTCAATTAGATAAATTGAAATTCGTGTGAATGATTTCATTTAAAAGTAAAATGAGATGTTTAATGGCAAAAATAAATATAAAAAATCTTAAGTATTCAAGATAGAAGAGAAGAGAGATAAAGCATAAACCAACGGATCAATGCAGAAGTCAATGTAAATACAAAAGCTAGAAATTATGACTTTAGTGAAAAAAGCTCATTCAAACCCTAATTGGAGTTGAAAAGTAATCCAAAAATTATCTTAATATATAGGAGAGCAAATACTTATGAGATGGATGTACGTAAAAATTTAGTTTAGTATACTCATTGTAATGTAATTATGTGGCCAAATTAAAAAAGCACTGTTTGATCACAGTTGTATTAAAAAAAGAAGAAGAGAGAACTCACTACCAAGTCCAATCCAATAAATTCCATTACACCAAAGTCCCATTAAATGTGAAAATAACCACCAAGTCCCAATGCTTGTGAAATTACAAAAATACGCCTACATTAATTACTTTCAAAAAAATATGTAATTCACCCATACCATCACCAGAGCTCCAGTTGGCCTCTATTGGAGCTCTATTGACCAGTGGTGGAATTTTTTTGGGAAGAGGTGGTCTTGGGATCGGATTATTAAAACTCAATATCAGATGGATCCCAAAAGCATATGAACCCAAAAATCCCACCATTTTCACTGGAGCTCCAATAAGCAGTGAAGGCTGATCGGGAGGTCTCTACCGGAGGCCGGCCAAAAATTCAGTGGCGATGGTGGATGAATTACATATTTTTTAAAAATATGTAATATAAGGGTATTCTTGTAATTGTATAAGCATTTGGAATTGGGTAGTTATTTGGGCATTTTATGAGACTTCGGTGTAATTGAATTTGTTGGGTGAGATTAGATGATGATTTTCCCTTAACACAAAATCATGATTAATTGCATGTAAAAAGTAGAAAATGTCAGGTGCTTATTTATATTAGGCTAAAATATATATTTAGTTATTTAAATTTACATAACAATATTTCTTTTAGTATTTTAACTTTATAAAGTGTTTTTTTAATCCCTTAATCATAATATTGTAGTTTTATTCTAAAAAATTTTTATATTAAACTTTCAAATGCTAACAAAACATTCTCAAATGTTGACATATTAAGTTTAATTTTTTAAAATAATAATGATCCACATAAAAAAAATATCATTTAAACTAACAATATAAGATTTAACGACTAAAAGATATTTTATAAAATTAAAAGACTAAATTAAAACCTTATATAAAGTTAGAGGATTAAAAATATACTTTAACCTTTGTATTAATATCTACTTCTTATGTGACCAATTTTTTCTTAAAATCAAAATTTATTTCAAGCGTTACTCAACGATGCATTTTCTTAATAATTTCCATTAGACTAGATTTTTTTTTGGAAAACAATTATTTTTGTAGTTTGAAAACTCTAAACAAATCTTGAGACAGAATTTCTCTCTTAGCTAGCTTTTGGATGAAGAAAAAAAGTTGTGCATGCTATCTTTAAGGTGGGGCAGCACTTTTCTCTAGACCTAATATACCCCCACCTATTTCAATCTTCAAAAGTTGGGTTGATGATAAATTTTCTTTAAAAAATAATGAAGACTCTTAAGTATAGTTTTCACTATGATCAAGACTCGAGCTAAGACAATAATATTTTTTCAAAGTGATAAATTTAATTTTATCTTTGGTGCAATTAAAGAATAAAAGCAATGAGTTTCAATAGATAGATATGTAAAATGAGTGATGGTAATAGATATTTATACCTTTTAAATAATAAAACTCTCTTTAAGAATTATAATTGATTCATAACCTTTACATTGTTCATGAAAATCTTATATTAATTCATGAATATTTTTATGTTAGTCTATGAACCTACATAGTTTAATAATTAATATTAACCAAGTGTGATTTGTAATAACTTTTTATGAAAAGAATAACATCCTTTTAATATATATTCTCTTCGTTAAAAAATATAAGGCATTTCTTGAGGAGTTGGATATTTAAAAATATAAAGCATTTTTAGTCTTTCAAGTGTAATCATTATCTTTTTTTTAAAAGTGTCCTATTGATAATGACTTTATATTTATTGTAAGGTTTTAATAGGGATAAAATAGAAAGATAGGGTTAGTTGAAAGTAGGTAACTACTTTATTGGAGGTGAGATTGGTTAAAAATACTTTACATTTTTGAACGGAATGAGTAAAATTTTTTTCTTTCACCAAGTGACACCTTTTAGTTTTATAACCATCCAAAGATATAGTATGTTAGAAATTAGAGAGACAAGACCTTGGTGACTATAACTCTCTATATAACTTTTCATAAAAAAATTTTAATTTATAAGTACATAACTTTCTAAAAGGACATGATTTTTCAAAAAAAAAATATCTCCATTTTGAAAATATTCTGACAAATCTCAATTTTAAATCCATGTATTTAAAATCATTTGTTTTAATAGTTTAAAAATTTTCACAGGAAAAAGAAATATGGTTATGATTCAAAGCAAAAAGGAAAAAATGAGAGTGATACATGAGCTTGCCTCTATTTTTCGGTCAACGAGAAATAAAAACAAGAGATGAGAGAAGACGGAGAATGATAAAGGCATTAGCAATAAAAACATGAAGATAACAACAGGTTTAATTGAAACTTCAAATGACTTGATTCTAGATAAAACATGATACACAAATTTATAATAAGAAATGAACTTGGATTTGAATTAAATCCATATCCTTAGAATTGTGTGTATACAAATGGGGGATTTGTAAATTCAAATCCAAATCCCCATTTTTCCAAACACAATAGTAAACATTAAACCCCATTTTTCCATAGAATTGTATGTATTATTAAATTAATGTTAAAATATTTGTGGAAAAAAAAACAAGAACATACAACCCCACCACATACTATATATGAGCACAATTGTGCTTTTCCGTTACACAGTTTGGCTGTGCCTGTGGCTTTGATGTCCATTAAAACCCCTCATCTTTTCCTCTTCATTCATTTCATAATTCCCTTCAACTTTTTTTGTAAACATATCTCTTAGCAACAACCACATAAGCCACCAAATTCAAACCCCAATTCCTGCAAGCAGAAAATAGTAGTAATCAAGATGTGACCTATTCAGATTATTCCCAAGCCACCTCCCTTTGCTTGCTCCTTCCACAATAGATATAAGGCCACTACTAATAAAGTTTGAAACCCCAG